ATTATATAATTTGATTAAACCCAACTGCTATGCGAAATTTCTGTTCATTTTAAAATGGCCGCCGAACCAGAATCACGTGGCGTCATAGTCATTCGAAAATACAGAAAAACTGTATTATGATTATGATTTCAGTGTTCCACTCTTCACTATTTGTAACTGTTATTTGTGTTGAAAATTTGCTATTGAACCTAATTTTACTTGCTCAAAGCCTCGAATAGTGTATCAATTGTAGTCGTAGATAACAATTATCACGGCTTTAAACTGCAGCTACCCATCGATGTGAGAAGAAAACATGCCCGATGCAACTATTAAATATATATTTCCACCACCTTTGGTGAAATACGGGTTTTAAGCGCCTTGATAATTTCATTGCTTATTATTCCGTCTTATCCTTCACTTTTCCCACTCTTTAATTTTACAATGTGAATGTGGACCTCCTTGAGACTAGGCTCATTCAACTTATTCAAATAAGTTATTGTTTGTTCCAGATCTGTGGTTCGGATGGGACGAAAAACTGAGGTGCCGTGTACACATTGGCGTGCACGTAAAAGATCCCTTGACAGTTGGAATTCGATATAACAGTAGGCCGTAGTGCTGCTGTCCGGGCAAAATTTCCCCCATAGCACACTGTATGGCGTACGCCCGTCTTCATTAGCCCAGTTCGGAGGAGAACAGTGGGACGTTAAACTCCATTTCATTTTATTTTATTTTGTTCCAGATCTTTCAGTTATCGTTTGATATCAATCATAAAGTTATTATCGAAAGAACAGTAGAATTTGTATCTATTTTACCGAAGTCCTGAAAGTGAGATTTTATGGTTTCAGGATCAAAAAAAGTTGATTGATCTTGTTTGTTTTTAACCAAATCATCAATCGAGAATATCTAGCACGATTTCTCGTTAAAATTTCATTCATAAATTTGCTCAGAATAAAGTAATATGTCTAAAAGTTTCAATATATTCATTTATCATTACCTTTTTTAGAAACAGAACGACCGGATCTTTATCTAAATCTTACATAATGTATCTTTACGAAAAATATTTTGCCCTCCCGAAAAAAAATTTGCCGGCCATAGCTGTAAAATACCTACTGTAGACTGTGCTGGGTGTGCCTCCCCTAAAAACTTCACAGCCCCTCCGAAGCTAGCAAGCTGGCTACCGGCCTGTCTGTTATACAAAAGGGGGGTTGGGTGGCCGAATGGTTAGCGCGTGTACGTTGTATCAAAGGAGTCTGACCTTCTATATATATGCATACACCATGTCCAACCAGACAATATATTTCTTTTTTTATTATATATTGTCTGGTTGGACATAGTGTATGCATATATATACGGATAGAAGGTCAGACTCCTGTGGTTGTATCATAATGTCTGTTATTGACAACTGGCATGGTTTCGATTTCCCGGTTGTACGTATCAAGGAGTAGGGTCGCCTGTCCAGCCTCGTGAGTTTTCTCCGGGTCCTTCGGTTTCCTCCCACTGCTAAAGACCCCACGTACAAGCGAATTATTGAAATAAAATTGAACCATATGTTAGTCCCGAAATGACCTCGTTTGTGTCCAGTGGAAGTTAAACCCCATTTCTCTCTCTCTCTCTCCAAAGCATTGACCAATGAAATTGATTAGCTCTGCCTAGCTTCAGCTCGAAATGTTAATCATTGAACTCAGTCAAGACATTCACCCAATGAACATCTACATCAAATTAGTCCCGAAATGATCTAGTTTGTGTCGAGTGGACGTTAAACCCCATTTCTCTCTCTCTCTCACTCTCTCTCTCTCTCTCACTCTCTCTCACTCTCATTAGCCCAGTCGAAGCAGAACAGTCTTGGACGTTAACCCCCCCCCTCTCTCTCTCTCTCTCTCTCTCTCTCTTTAACTGATAATGTCCAAGAAGAGTTTTTTGGATTAGATTTATCTAAATGCTCAAGTTTAGTAATTCATCTTTGAATTCACGCTTCTTAGATTTAACCAGTTTTGTGTACTTTAACTTCATCCCAAACTTAGACTGTCTGTCTACAGCTAGCTCCGCTGTATGACGTAGATGGATCGTTGGGTGCAGTATGCTTTAAAGGAGCTAAATAGCTAACATTTGGGAACTAGAAATTGACCCAAATGGGTCGCAACGCATATGATAATGTAATCTGATTGTATATAAACTGATGTACATTCAACTGTTTCCGTTTTGACTCTAATTTCAAATCAGTTATGTCCAGCGAAATACGGCATGAGTCTCAACCGAATAGCAATTTATAGGGTCTGGTTATTCCAGTCTGTTGCGCATGCTCTCCAGATAAGATATGGCGTCACCGTTTGACATGAGTTGTCATACTGCACACAGCGATGCATCTACTTCATACCTCGAGAATACAGGCGGAGCTAACTGTAGAGAGGCAGCCTAAGTGTCTGGTCACTTGTTACAAATGACGCTGAAACGCACTATTGTACACGATTCGTGTACCAATGGTAAAATGTTTATTTTGTCTTAAATATTGGATATCAGAAGCCTGTCTTTTCCTGGTAAGATCACAACATCAATGTTCATTTGAATTGACAAATAATTCGTATTTTCAACGTGTAAGACTTTGGATGATATTGAGTTAGAGACTTAGCTACTTTAACTTATAACATGTTTGACGTACTGTTGGCCGTGTTGGGTCATTATGAAATTTTTCAAAAGTTTTAGAATATTGCGATAGGCGTCTTCTCATTTGTACACATGACGGGCATACGCCATACAGTGTGCTATGAGGGAAATTTTGCCCGGACAGCGGCACTACGGCCTACTCTTATATCGAATTCCAACTGTCAAGGGATCTTTTACGTGCACGCCAATGAGTACACGAGACCTCGGTTTTTCGTCCCATCCGAACGACTAGACAGCTGTCCTTGTCAGCCCCTCCGTCCTGCATCACTGACAAGGGAGAACCACGCCGGAAAATCGGGATGAACTTTCTCGGCCAATGCAGGGATCGAACACCCGACCTCCAGGCTAGCGAGCCAGCGCCCTACCCACTTAGCCACCGTGATCCCCAACTTTAGTAACGAAGTCCTAGTGCTCTCTCTTCACTAGGTTCGGTTCCCCGGTTGTCCGTGACAAGGAGTAAAGTCGCCTGTCCAACCTCGTGGGTCCCCCGGTTTCCTCCCACTGCTAAAGACCCCTACGCGCAAGCGAATTATTGAAATAACATTGCACCATGTGTTAGTCCTGAAATGACCTAGTTTGTGTCAAGTGAACGTTACCCACCCCCCTCTCTCTCTCACTCTCTCTCACTCTCGCTCTCTTCACCAGGAGTCTCTAAGAATTCGTTACTAAAGTAACTACCATTGAGTATACGAGTTCCGGCCTGTTTGCAAATATCAATTAGTCTCTGACCTTGGTTATCTTTCTTTTTATCTTTGTTGTATCTATGCTGCAGTTGTCACTTACATAGTTATTATATATATAGAGAGAGAGATGGGGTTTAACGTCGACTCAACACATACTATGTCATTTTGGGACTAACATATGGTTTTATTTTTTATTTCAATAATTCGCTTGCGCGTAGGGGTCTTATGCAGTGGGAGGAAACCGGAAGTTATTATATAATTGTACATAAGGTGAATGTGAGTCATTTTCTACAAAATCATGTATTATACATTTAAAATAAATTAGTTTTGTGGGAGAAATCAGGTGTTTTCTATGTTAATTCCGGTGTTTTCAAGTGAATTCCGGCTTTTAGTCGGGCCCGCCGCTGAGATCCCACTAACAAAACAATTACTGGGCTTGTTGTGCGTCACATAACACCAGCTGTCACCATTCACCTGAAAAAAATTGAGAGGCAGGGAGAAAACTTTTCTGTTACCGTTAATAGATTTCCAGAAATCTTCGTTCACCCATGACAATTGTGTTTTGAGCCTTTTAAATGTGATCGTATATCGTCGCCTCCGTCCAGGCTAGCAAGCCAGCGTCTTACCCACCGTGATCCCCCACTGGGAGCTACTTCATTTGAACATATCTGGAAACAAACACCACCCTGGCAAAATACCAACAAAATTTTGTGTGAAATCCATCAAGCGGTTGAGGAGAAGTCGACAATGCCTAGTCTTACGAACTAGGACGGACAGACGGACAACGGACAGAAGTGACGATAGGCACATCCTTTATTTTGCTTTAAATGAGCTAATCCGAATGGATTTCTCGGCAACACTTTCCTCGTCTCGTGTTTTTGTAAAAAAAAAAAAGAGTCGGTATACTCAATCATGGGGGCATCACGTGCTCGATAATATTGAATGACAAACAATACTCATCGATAACAAAACTGTAAAAATACAAAGTCACATCATAGAATCTGGATGATAGAGACTAGTCATAGAACTGATCAATCCATGGTCACATGCTTTATTTTTACTGTCATGTGATTTCATTTATAAATCGATACGGTAGTCTTCGGTTGATATTCTTTGTTATCGTGCAGCGGGTTTCATATGGCCGAGTTTAAGAATAAAATATAAATACACGCGTATTTTATTACTATTTTGTCGTTTGTGAATCAGCCATTACTTATTACTCCCACATTGTCTTGTAGGATATGTTTTTCTTTTTACATTACAAATGGGGCCCAATTCATTAAATACAGGACATGCCTCGTGATTATAAAAATGTTCAATATGTCTTAATATTGGATATAGGATCCCATATTTTCACTACAAGACAGGTCAAGCCCCCCCCCCCCCTGCCCCCCGCTGGCTACGGGCCTGCTACAAGATAACAGCATCAATATGAATTGAAATCGACCAATATTGATCATTTCCATTTCGTTTTTTTAATTTCTAATATTATAGAAAATATAATAGTTCAAATTCCTGGCTCTCTATTGACCGCGTCATCATTAGCCTAGTTGGAGCAGAACAGTAGGACGTTAAACCCTATTTCATTTCTGTCTCATGATCAGCCAGATGACTTATTTTTATCCTGAGCCTGGACAACCAAGTCTTGAATAGTTTGTCAATAAATGGTGAGCTGAATGCTTCCTGACCTATTATTTTTTTGTGAAGCGCTTGACAAGGAAAAGTTTAGCTTATCAGTCAGTAGCAAGCAAAATGAAGTTTTTGGCAGTTACAGTTATCCTTGTGAATTTTATTTCTACATCCGTGTCGACCAAATGTAATTTTCCACCCGATTTGTGGTGCTCATCAAAAGAAATCGCCGAATTATGTCAGGTTTGTATTTCCTTTAGCTACTTTCATTTTGTTTTAAACGGCTTCTAATTTCCACTATTGAATGCACTGAAAAAGGGCACAAAATTGTCATTAACATCTTAATACCAGTGTCACAGTTTCATTGGATGTGGGTTTTTTGCTCAAGGGGTACCTTTATCTTTTAGACGCCCACACTTATTGTGTCTCATAACCCCAATTTGTATATTAGATTAGAGGAGGAGTCGTGGTGGCTCAGTCACGGGCCAGGTGTTGGCTAGCTATACCTGTACGTCCCAGGTTCCATCCAAGGGGTCTTTAGCAGTGGGAGGAAACCGGAGGACCCGGAGAAAACCCATAAGGTTGGACAGGCGACCCTACTCCTTGTCATGTACAAGCGGAGAATCGAAACCACGCCAGTTGACTCAATGACAGACCTTATGATACAGCATGCACACGCTAACCATTCGGTCATCCTACCCCCTTCCTGATCATAAAGAAACACAAAATTATGAAAGGGCAGATCGAGGGGCTGAGTATTCAAGTGCCCCTTTTGATCCACCCTTGTTAAATATACGGTAACTAAATGAAAAAATATCGAAATATTAAACCAGGCATTATGTAACAGCTAAATCTGTCTATAATTGCAGGTTTTTCTAAGTGGATTAGAATGGTTTGGCCATTTAATGATTTAATTTAAAAATGGAGAAGCGAGGCTAATTAGACTCGAATGACCAGTACAGTAGTTATGATCATTTGAAATGATCAATTGAAATAAAATTGAACCATGTGTTAGTTCTGAAGTGACCTGGTTTGTGTCGAGTTGATGTTAAACCCCATTTCTCTCTCTCTTTTATAATCAGGTAACAGAACAATGTGCTGTCAACAGTTGGAATATCAAGTCTGATGGACCACTGGTGAACTTTACCCTGTATTACGAATCGTTATGTCCTTACTGTAGACAATTTATAGTTGATCAGCTTTTCCCAGCTTACCAGGCTGTTGGTAAAATAATGAATCTTACCATTGTACCATATGGTAATGCTGAGGTAGGTAATATACATTTAAAACATTAAATTAATGCTGAGGTAGGTTAAAATAATGAATCTTACCATTGTACCGTATGGTAACGCCGAGGTAGGTTATATACATATAAAACATTTATTTAGTCTGTAACAATCTGATATTTTTCTATTTGTCTGTACTGGATGATAAGAGACTGAAAAACTAGGCCTCGATTTCCTAGTCGTAATAGATTTTGTTTCATTTTTGTTACCTAAAGATACCACACAGACACATATTTGGAAAAATCAATGTTTTGGTTATTCAGTCATGATAACCATTTTTAATAACATCTTGATCTCGCTTTAAATTTGTACATATTATAAAACCCTTCACATAATACCCTGGGTATTACGTCACTAATTTCGATTGGCTACTGACCCAATTGGGGGTCTCTCAGATTCCTCGATAGAAAATATCATCGCAAATACTAAGTCCAACACTTTCCTGCTAAAATGTCTAACCATGCTAATCGAGTTACAGAGTTCAAGGTTCGTTCAATGTTAAGGTTTCCGTGGAGGTCGGCATGTTTGATTTGAGTGTTGATTGGAAAACGCTATTGTTCACTTGTTTGTGATAAAGGGAGATAACGTACCTATAGGTTTGGGTACTTCAGACTAATGTAGCAACAGCTAGATGTTGTAAAGCTAGTGGTCGTTGATTCAGGAACATGTTATGCTACATACCTACCAATTTCTCTGAGAAAACAGTTCTAAATTGACTTGTCACTCACAAAGTGAAGGAATTGCAAATCTTTTTGTACACATGTCCCTGTGTCCTTGAAAAATGGTTTTTGGATGTAAAAATTGTAAAACTGGATTTCAAGACTCAGCTTATTGCATTTGTGTTTATAATAACAATATGCTAGAAACTCTGTAGGCCTACTTGCGGTTCTTCTGTAGGCCTACATATGGTTCTCCTATAGGCCTATTAGAAGTTCTCCTGTAGGCCAATTTGTCATTATCCTGTAGGCCTTACTATTCTCCTGTAGGCCTACTTGTGGTTCTCCTGTAGGCCTACATGGGGTTCTCCTATAGACCTACTTGCCGTTCTCCTATAGACCTACTTGCTATTCTTCTGTAGGCCTAATTGCGGGCCTCCTGTAGGCCTACTTGCCGTTCTCTTGTAGGTCTACTTTCTATAAGAGTTTTTTATTGGGCTCCTCATTTAAACTGTTTATTGTATTCAGGAGACTGAACATGGTGATCTGTGGAAGTATACTTGTCAACACGGACCAAATGAATGCGTTGGTAACTTGATAGATGTGAGTATTTAACTTGTGCTTATTTCTTTAATATTTCTGTTCAACCTCGTGGGTTTACTCCGGGTCCTCCGGTTTCCTCCCACTGCTAAAGACCCCTATGTGCAAGCGAATTATTGAAATAAAATTGAACCATATGTTAGTCCCAAAATGACCTAGTTTGTGTTGAGTGGACATTAAACCCACCCTCTCTCTATAAGGTTTTACTATTTTACTTTCAGTCTTGTGCTATCTATTACATGAATCAATCTGAATATATGCCTTATATATACTGTATGGAGAAAGCAACATCCACCATCGATCCAATTATGGCAGCTAAAAAGGTATAAACAAGACCATATACAAAAAATATTCTGGTACCGGGTTCACAAAGCATTCTCAAACTTGAGTTAAGAATATATACAAAACTGTTCGCCTTAATTTAACTAACATCTAGCCTTTTATAAAACTTTTGTTGTTTTAATGTATCAAATACATCAATAAGAAACTATGTGCAAAGTTTTGTGCTTCTGACTGTTTCTGGATTAAAGATATTTCTAATAAACAGTGATTAAAAAGTTGAGTGAATTCTTGACTTAAGTTTGAGAATGCTTTGTGAACTCAGGGTTCTGGTTCTCAGATAATCGGGGATCACGTGGCTAAGTGGGTAAGACACTAGCTCGCTAGCCTGGAGGTCGGGTGTTCGATCCCTGCATTGGCCGAGAAAGTTCATCCAGATTTTCCGGCGTGGTTCTCCCTTGTCAGTGATGCAGGACGGAGGGGCTGACAAGGTAAGCTGTCTAGTCGTTCGGATGGGACGGAAAACCTAGGTCCCGTGTACACATTGGCGTGCACGTAAAAGATCCCTTGGCAGTTGGAATTCGATATAAGAGTAGGCCGTAGTGCCGCTGTCCGGGCAAAATTTCCCTCATAGCACACTGTATGGCGTATGCCCGTCTTCATTAGCCCAGGTTAGGAGCAGAACAGTAGGACGTTAAACTCCATTTCATTTCATTTCATTTCTCAGATAATCCTCATTGCTGAGTCACCTGTTTTTATTTCAAATAATAAAAAATAAAAACCATTATTTAATTACCGCAGGTAAATATTTCATCCTATTTTGTTTTTGTTATTTTATAGTTCAAAATTTCGTTTTACTTGTCTAAAATCTAATTTATTTATTCAATTAATAGACAGAAAAACAATCTGCAAATTGCTTGAAGACGGGCATTTGCCATACAGTGTGTTATGGGGGAAATTTTGCCCGGAGAACGGAGCAACTACCTACTCTTATATGGAATTCCAACTGCCTGTGTATATATTGGCATTCAGTTTTTCAACCCATCCGAATGACTAAACTCTGTTATTAAAAACACCAACACAACTTCAATTTTTTTGTCTCATCCGAATGACTATATGTTGTCTCTGTCCTGCACCACTGACAATGAATTACTTCAAAAAGCCTCGGGATCAAGCATGGGAACGTCAGGTTAGCATGCCAACGTCTTACTCCAGGCACCTGACAAACCAATATGTTTTAGTATCAATATTATACATTGGCATGCACGTAAAAGATTTTTATTTTTTTTGTATGGCCTTAATGTTATATCGTTCAAATATATTGGTATTTCATAACAGCTGTCTAGTCGTTCGGATGGAACGAAAAACCAAGGTCCCGTGTATACATTGGCGTGCACGTAAAAAATCTTCGATATAAGAGTAGGCCATAGTTCCGCTACCCAGGCAAAATTTCCCTCATAGCACACTGTATGGCGTATGCCCGACTTGCTTAGCCCAGTCAGAGCAGAACAGTAGGACGTTAAACCCCATTTCATTTAAGTTTAAACATATAAGCTTTGTTTTTAGTGTGGAACCCCAAATTATGCCCCAGTAGACCGGATATTGGAATGTGCTAAATCAAGTTTTGGTAACAAATTAGAACATGAAATGGCCGAAAAAACTGATGCCCTTCGACCACAGCATCAATATGTACCATGGGTTACACTGAATGGGGTAAGTAGATTAACATGGGTTACACTGAATGGGGTAAATAGATTAACATGGGTTACACTGAATGGGGTAAGTAGATTAACATGGGTTACACTGAATGGGGTAAGTCAATTAACATGGGTTACACTGAATGGGTTAAATAGATTAACATGGGTTACATTGAATGGGGTAAGTAGATTAACTTGAATAAACTATAAACATACTTATGGAAAACAGCTACTTCGAAACGTCGCCTAAATAAATCAGTAGCTGTTTTCCATAACCCTAATCGAGGGTTGATATGTGAAATAACACAAGGCCGGAGGCGAATCCCATCCCTGGGTTACACTGAATGGGGTAAGTAGAAAAAATATATTTGTAAATCCAAATGGAAATCATTAGCTTTAAGTTTTATGTGTTTGAAATGTAGTCGTATATTGTCATCACACCAAACTCTCCAGGAGTCCCTCTTGAGCCTACAGTTATCATCGGATTGACTTTAATTTTATACACAGGGTTTTCTCCAAGTTCCTTCCAGTACTATAAAGACCCCTACGTGCAAGAAATTATAAAAAATAAAATTAAGCTGTATGTTATTCCTAAAATAACCTTTTTTTGTTAAGTGGATGTTAAACCATATATATATATATATATCTCTCTATCTCTCTCTCTCTCTCTCTAACCATTCAATTGTGCTGCCAGTGATGGTAGATAAATTAACTGACAGGTAGAATCGTATATTTTCATCACCCCATTCTTCCCACTACTAAAGACTTCTACACAAGAAATTATTAAAGTAAAAATGAAGCTGTTTGTTACTCCCAAAATAACCTAATTTTTCATAGAGTGTCTCTCTATTGTCAGTGAGCCTTAATTAAAGATATTTAATTTTTTGATAAACCTTTTTCTACCAGGTACATACAGAAAAAATACAGGATGAAGCTAGCAACCATTTAATAAAGCTAATCTGTCAAACTTATCAAGTAAGTTACAATTTTTTTCCACCTGGGAGCTGCGGTGGCTCGGTGAGCAAGACACTGGCTCGCTAACCTGGAGGTCCTGTATTCAATCCTTGCATCGGCCGAGAAAAATCATCGGGATTTTCCGACGTGGTTTTCCCCTTGTTAGTGGTGCAGGACAGCTGTCTAATTGTTTGAATGGGACGAAAAACCAGGGTCCTGTGTACATGTATGCATGAATGTAAAATAACCCTTGACATTCTGAAATTCGATATAAGAGTAGGTCGTAGCGCCACTATCTGTGCAAAATTCCCCCCAGTCGGTGCAGAAAAGTAGGATGTTAAACCCCATTTTATTTATTTTTGCCCCCCAGAATTTGGGAGGTAGAGTCATGATTGACCAAATGATCTTGGCATTGAAAGGTGGGGGGTTGGGTGGCCGAATGGTTAATGTGTGCGCGTGAAATCATTGAGTCGAGTGACATGGTTTCACTTGTACGTGACAAGGAATAGGGTCGTCTGTCCAGCCTCTTGGGTTTTCTCTGGGTCCTGCGGTTCCCGCCCAGTGCTAAAGACCCCTATGCTCAAGAAAATTAACATTGAACCATATATTAGTCCCGAAATGACCAAGTTTGTATCAAGTGGACATTAAACCCCAATTCTCTCTCACTGATCAAAGGTGGGTCATCTATGCAAGTCACTAGCTCAATCCCAGGAATACATTTGCCTGTCTTTACCATTTAAATTTAATTCATTTTTTTTTAATTGCAGGGTTCCATGAAACCCGCTGCATGCAAGAAGTTTGAAAAACCAGACTCAAAACGTTGTTATAAATAGATTCTAATCGTACATCAAAAGGCTTTTGCTCAGACAAGTTTTGTATTAGATTAAAGTTACAATTTCATACTTTTAAGTTATATTTTTAAAATGTATTAAAATAAAGCCTTAAAATAGATGGTATCTATAAACAGTCCTACCTTGTTAAAGAATAATCCTATTAATCCAATAATTCACTATTGTGAGTTGAGAAATTGGCAAAAATATCATTTTCAACTTCAAATTCAAACATTTGAAGATAGCTATTCCATGAATGATGATTTTTAAGTGTGAGAATGATACCTATGATCGTATAATAGTGAGTTGACAACCTGTTGAGCGAAAGACATAGAAATAATTATGTTTTGACTTTCTTAGAAAATATGAAATTGTAACTTTAAAGCATTTGTCTGTCATATGATGGCTAATGTCTGAACAATCTGTTTAAAACACAGATCGTATTTCATTTCATTTTTTATAGTTCAAAATTTTGTTTTACTTGTCTTTTCTACACTAGGATCTGGAAGAGTTGTTATATAACCCACGTTCTGATTGATGTGAGGGATTAGCAAATGAAACGGTCTGTTAAGGCGATGCACGGAACTGTCAGTAAACCACTAGAAACGTCAATACTGATTGATTAATCAATGTCTGACATCATTGGGTCAAAAGCCGCTCGTACGACCCCTGACACGACCTTCCAGTACAACTGGTCAGATCTTCATGTAGTGTAGACCATCGAAAGTATAAAAAAAAAAAAAAAAAATATAGATCTGTATTTTAATGGGATTGATGTCTGATGATATAAGACAAGCAGAACATCCTTGAAATTTAATGACAAAGTTTGGTAAATGGGCAATAGACCTGTCCCAGAGGTCACAAACCATTCTCAAAATTGTTCATCTTATTTTAACTAAAATATAGCCCTTTATAAAACTTTTATTGTTTTAGTGTATCAAATACATCAATAAGAAACTATGTGCAAAGTTTTGTTTCTGTATTAAAGATATTTCTTATAAACAGTGATTGAAAGTTGAGTAAATTCTTAGCTTGAGTCTGAGAATGCTTTGTGAACTCAGGGTTTGGTGTTTATTAAATTACATTAATTTATGACTGTGATTAAATTACTTTTAACAGTAACAAGTACTAGTAATGTAGAAATTACATTAATTTATGACTGTGATTAAATTACCTCTAACAGTAACAAGTACTAGTAATGTAGAAATTACATTAATTTATGACTGTGATTAAATTACTTTTAACAGTAACAAGTACTAGTAATGTAGAAATTACATTAATTTATGACTGTGATTAAATTACTTTTAACAGTAACAAGTACTAGTAATGTAGAAATTACATTAATTTATGACTGTGATTAAATTACCTCTAACAGTAACAAGTACTAGTAATGTACATGTAGCAATTACATAGATTTATGACTGTGATTATATTACCTCTAATAATGCTAGAATTATTTCTGCTGATCTTTTGATCAAATCTATTTTTGTATCCTTGTTAATCAAACTTAATTTAGTTATCAGTGTCGCAGTGAGAAACAGAGTTTAACATCCACTCGACACAAACTAGGTCATTTCGAGACTAACATATGGTTCAGTTTGATTTCAATAATTTCCTTGCACATAGGGGTCTTTAGCAGTGGGAGAAAACTGGAGAATCCGGAGAAAACCCACGTGGTTGGACAAGCGACCGTACTTCTTATCACGTACAACCGAGGAATTGACACCACACCAGTTGACTCAATGACAGACCCTATGATACAACGCACATGTGCTAACCATTCGGCCATCCAACCACCTGCTTTTAAGATGTTATGTATGTTACAGGTGTTATTTATATGTGGGTTTTGCATTTATTTGTTGATTTTTAAATACTCTGTTTTCATTTACATTCCTTTATTAATCAAATGATTATAAAATACTCTGTTATATTTATATTTCAAATGATTATAAAATACTCTGTTATATTTATATTTCAAATGATTAATAAAATAAAGATATTTTCTGTAATTGATTTGATCTGAATGGTATTGTGTTCTTCTATGACTGAGGTAATGAAGAGTGGCATATATCATACAGCATGCTGTGAGGAAAATTCCAACTGCCAAGGGATCTTTTACATGCATGCTAATGTGTACACAGGACTTTGTCCCATCCAAACGACTATACAGTGTCCCTTGCCAGACCCTCTGTTCTGCACCATTGATAAAAAGAAACCACTAGAAAAAATCCTGATGAACTTTCTCGACCTACGCAGGGATCAACACGGGGATCAACACGGGACCTCCAGGTTACAAGCCAACATATCAATCATTGACTCACTGAGGCTCCTGCCAATAAAAAACCCAATGTTTTCAGTTGGAATAAATGACCTGATGAACAATAGGAGGATATTTCTTCTGGCCTTTCAATCAGGGAAACACAAAAAAAAACAACACCACCAATTGTATGACAGTAATTTTATTGTTTAATTAACCCTCTTATCATATAGACCCGCTTATCAAATTATTAAAGATAATAAGCATATAAACCCCTCTTATCAAAGTTAATAGAAACATTTTTCCTGATACCTTAACCCAATTAAAGGGGATGTATAAAGTTAATTGGCATAAAAATCCCTCTTATCATATTGAATTATTAAAGTTTCCTGATACCATAACCCAATTAAACGGGATGTAAGTCGTGGTTTAGTGATTTTCCAACCACCTGTTAGAGACATATGATTCCTAGCCATACATGCATCATGAAAGGTCACTGGAAAAGTTTCATAATTTTTTTAAATAATGCAAGTAATTAAGAGTGGTTTAATGGTCGAGAGCCAGATATTAAGTAATATATTGAAACAACACGAGGGACGTAGTTTCATTATATTACGCAATGTCTTAAGCTCGAGACCAGTAAACAACTTGAATACAGACACTCGCACGTGCTTTGCAATGAAAAACGTCACTCGGGTTCAATATTACACTTGGCACATTGCCCGTACGATTCTTTGAAACAATGGTACGCTAACATCAAAGGATGAGGTCACATCTGTAATTTAAGTCACCATATCCTTTCCATAAGTATGACAAAAAATCCGAATGTCAATGTTACCGGCCACAAGTAAATTTCAACATTAGCGATTTCCCCTGTTCTCCGTGGGTAGTCTTAACTTTCCGCCAATAAAACAGCCGCGACGTCATTTTAGTCCTTCTGCTCATAGAAATATAGACTAGAATATGAGGAGCAGGACTAAAATTAGGTCACAGCTTTTTTATTAGCAGAAAGTTACGACTACTCACGGAAAACGGCGGAAATTTACCTGTTGAAATTTACCTGTGGCAGGTAACATTGACATTTGGGATCATGGAAAGGATATGTTGACAATTCCTTGCATTATTTAAAAAATTTTGAAGCTTTTCTAGTGATCTCTAATATATTTATTAGATGACAAAATTACAACTGTGAAAAAGTAAGAAAATTCTAAAAAATACACACACATAGATTAAATGACCCTGAATGAGCACCATTCAATAAGTGCTTAGGTCAGTTTCAACAAGGTAGGAAATATTACAGACAAATGTAGAATATATTGTAATTGATAGAAACAAACAAACTTAAAAACAAAATTCATAATAGTTTTAAGACGGTTATTTATACTTTACTTAAAGTTTTATTTACAAAAAAAAAAAGAATTCAAAATAGTTTTAAGATGGTTATTTCTTTATCCAATTCTACTGTGTAAAAAACATTATAAAAGATAACAGTAAGTTTATAACCATTGACTTACAAACATATAACAACATCTTTGATTTGAGTGAATAAATAACATTGTTAATGTTAATTAAATCTCGTGCATTCAGGCTCAAGGTGAGGCTGGGTGTGTGCAGCCGAATTCTCTCTTCCTTCCTTGGAGTGTTTATATATGGTTTCTGTCTACATTTAAAATTTTAGGTTCACAGATTAAACATACATTATGCAAGAGCCTGAAATGTTATCTAAATTATTAATTAGACATTAATTGACTTACCCAGATATTTACTGGATTAGGATGCTATCTGCTGCTTACCGCTCATTCATGATTAAATCAAAAAATGGATAATCGAGACTATGTTTTTTATTGTACCGACTTTAGTAATGATGATAGAGGCTGGGCCCAAAATTCATTCGTTAAATTCTTGGTTTAGAGTGGATCAATTTGACTGAAATTTTCAGCATATTCCCTTTACATTATCTTGTTTTTAACTATTATAGTGAGAACTGCTAGCTCTTTATCTAATCTCCCATAATGTATCTTTAAGCAAATATTGAGATATAACTGATTTGGTATTCCACTGTTGACAGTTTTACTGATTAAACAAATCAACTTTCACTTACTATATTGAAATGAAAATTTAATCAAAAAACACTATTTTCTACCTAAATAAAAGCGGTATAGAACCTTAAGATTAATTCAACTTAGATTTTAATGCCATAGCCTTCGTTATAATAAACAAAAAAGAGGATCAGAAATTTTTTGAAAATATTATTGGAATAATAAATTGGATATAAAGATAAATATTTTATGTTAATAAATTAGTATATTTCATAAAATCAACATTCATAAATTTATTTCTTATAATAATTTCACATATATACAGTATTCTTTCTAACTTATAATCTCTTTTCTTACTTACAAAATAATAATACACACATCTTATATATACTCAATATATCTGGTATACACATTTACACACATTTTTATATGGTCCCAATCTGATTATAATACAAATCTATATTTCATTTCGTTTTTTATACTTTCGATGGCCTACACTACATGAAGATCTGACAAGTTATAGCGATAGGTCACGTCAGGGGTCAAAAGACCGACTTTTGACCTATGATGTCAGACATTTGATTAACCAATCAGCATTGATGTTACTAGTGGATTACCCACAGTTGATTGGTTGACCCCTCATTTCAAGCAGAAAACAAGTTAAATAACAAGTCTTCCAGATCCAAGTGTAGTAAAGACAAGTAAAACAAAATTTTGAACTATAAAAACGAAACGAAATAGGATCTGTGTTTTAACCAGATTGACATGGTCGCATAAAGAGTCAGTATAGACAACTATACAAAACAAGACACTGTGCACCTGATTTGGACTCTTCCGCCATCAAAATATATTCCACCTCTTGCAGTCCGGACCTAGAAGGAGAGAGAAATGGGGTTTAACGTCCACTCAACACAAACTAGGTCATTTCGGGACTAACATATGGTTTAATTTTATTTCAATAATTCGCTTGCGCATTGGGGTCTTTGGCAGTGGGAGGAAACCGGAGGACCCGGGGAAAACCCACGAGGTTGGACAGGCGACCCTACTCCTTGTCACATACAACCGGGGATTCGAAACCACGCCAGTTGACTCAATGACCGGCCTTATGATACAGCACGCACATGCTAACCATTCGACTGTAGATAACATCGACGTATAGGACGTCAATGATAGATAAACTGATACTATCGTCCACATTTGTGTATGCTGTTCAGTCGATCCACAGATTCTCCCGGACGAGCTTCTATTTCTTCTGGAAGTGGCCAATCGAGTTGGCCTCTTGTTATACTATACAAAACGCTTAGATCTATTTGATAAGGCCAACTTCAAGTTTGGTCAAAGCTCACGAGATGTAAACAGGGCTAGCACTAATCCCAACCCAAACCCTGGACCTAACCCTAACATTTACCCTAACCCTAACCTACAATCTAACCAACAATCACGTGTCCTAAATTTATTTACATCTCAATGACCTTGATGAAAATTAAGTTGGCCTTAACAAATAGATCTTGCCATACTAAAGAAGGTAATACTGGTATAAATTAATTAGTAAAATAGTAAATAGTACAACTAAGGCATTCACGTGAGAAGCCCTGAACCCTCCGGCACCCTTTTGACGAATGAAATTCCAGGCTTAGGGATTGACTCGAGATCATCGTAGCATTTTAAAGGGTGCACTACACTAATAAATTTACAAACAGTGCAACATAGGCGCCAGTGAGACAAGCCCCTCAATCTCTTAGCCTAGCCAGGGTGTGCTCAACTGAGAACACATAAAATTCCATGAGTTTTCCAGGAGCTAATTACCAGTTTCCAGGAGTCCCTGTATAGAATTCAACATCATAATGTATTTTTCTTTTTACGCTTAAAGAACATTGTTCAACTGACTCAAGTTCATTTACAGCAACGAACTCGTGAACTTTTGAAGAAACATTCGATTACTACGTTCAATTTTATATTTCAAAATATATAGCGAAAACACAAATGTTAATTTTCCAGGAGTTTCAAGGAGTAATCTTGTTTTTCCAGGATTTTCCAGCACTGGAAATCACATTTTCATTTTTCCAGGATTTCCAATGAGTTTCAAGGAGTGTGCGAACCTTGCTAGCACCCTGTTGACTTGAAGACAGTTGACCCATGAAATACAAGGGTTAGGTTTCAGGTTAAGACCATCACATCAGAGAGGTTTAAATGTACATTACACACCAATGATCCAACCACTATTATTTACAAATATTTCATATGTACAAATATACCATAAAGCAAGAAATAAATGCTATAAAATTTAATAATGCTATACATTTTAAACATACATTATGCAAGAGCTAAATCTGTCTATTGCAGGTCTTTCTTTAGGCCTGAAATGTTATCCAAATTGCCTTTACATTATCTAGTTTTTAACTATTATAGTGAGAACTGCCAACTCGTTATCGAATCTCCCATAATGTATGTTTAATATAATTTAATAATGCTATACATTTTAATAACCCAGGTCACAATAATTTCATCCTCCATTTTGATTCAAACAAGGTCAATTCAAGATGGCATTTAACATACACTTTCAATTAATTTCTCGGTGCTATCTTTTTTTTTCTCTAAGACTGCTAGGCTTTTCCTAAATGATTTTTCATTATATATACTCGAAAATCTTGCTCAAGATGGCATCTAACCTAAACCTTCTGTTTTACATTTGTTGTTGTTTGTATTTCAGAGGAGAGTCAAATAAAGCTCCCCTCAATCAACAAATTGAAAAAATCGCTCTCCTAAAAAAACTCTCCCAGTTTTGATAAGAAGAGTGATTTAAAAATTAAGGAGAGTGATCTGATATTAAGGAGAGTGATTAGTTGTGTGTATGGGAAATGGTTCTGAAGATCAATAACTTCATGTAATGGGGTCATTCCTGGTTTCATAAATGATAATAAACCCCCAATGACTATGTAAAGGAGAGCGATTTTCAGTTTTAAGGGGAGGGGAAAAAAACTCCCCTCGGTCGACATTCAGTTGACTGGTTTTAAAGGAGCTAAATCGCTAACATTTGGGAGCCAGAAATTGACAAAAGTCGGTCGCAACGCATATAATACTGTAATATGAATGTATATAAACTGATTTACATTCAATGGTTTCCGTTTTTACTCCAATTTCAAATCAGTTATGTTCGGCGAAATATGCCAGCAGTCTCAAGCGAGTGCAAATTTCTAGCGTCTGGTTATTCCAGTCTACATCCGCCGTTTGATTTGGTGCAATGTGTCTAGTCTCGTCCCTTGAGTCTCTTGATACAACTGGGGCTGAAGCGCATTATGGTAAAATGTTTATTTTGTCTTAAATATTGGATATCAAAAGCCCATCTTTTTCCGGTAAGATCACAACATGAATGTTGATTTAATTTGACAAATAAATCGTGTTTTCAATGTTGAAGATTTTGGATGATATCGAGACTTAGATACTTTAACTAATAGATTACATCTATTTTTGTTAATATTAAAAAATCATAAATTGAAAAAATATCAAAATAATAAATTATAACTTTTGGCTCTGGAACCATCCTCGGATTATAATATGTTCATCTATTTTTGTTAATTTATAAATAATTCAAATGTCTGGTGAATATGTGTTATTCAGCTCAGGAACCATTCTCAAAGCACAATTCATAAATAACAATAGTAACATATACATTTATATAAAGCCCTAAATATCCACCAAAGATGCTCAGGAACCATTCTCAGAATAGACTGATATATCCATTTATAAAGCCCTAAATATCCACATAGGACACATAAAGATATACTAGTGTATAATAATAATATAGGAATTATCTGTCCATAGCAACCATATTAATGACTTAATACAATGGTGTCTCTAACAATACAATCTCCATAGCAACAATATTAATGACTTAATACACTGGCTTCTAATAATATAATCTCCATAGCAACCATATTAATGATGGTGTCTAACAATACAATCTCCATAGCAACAATATTAATGATATCATACATTGGTGTCTAATAATATAATCTCCATAGCAATGATATTAAAGCACAATACACTGGTGTCTAACAATAATTCAAACAGATAAGTTGTCCAGTCTGATTGAGTGATCGACTTCTGTGGAAGTTTAAGGGTAGTTTATTCCAGGATGTAGATGCATTGACTTTTGAAAGAGCGACCACCAAAATAACTTTAACACACTGAGGAACATCTCGTTTTTTCATATTTACTGTTTATAAATGCAGTTTTTTACGCAACACCAGGTCCAATGTAAAACCCTAATTTCAAAATCATATAATGGAAAACCCCTTTCCTTGTATTCTAAGTTTAACGAGTTTAAACAGCGAGATAAATAAATTACGATATTCTTCATTAACGTGAAAATCATATTGTGGTGCCGTCATGATACTAGCTGTAGTTCCATCTGATTGGCTGTCGGTACCAGGAGTGTCTTCATTGGTTGGTTGAGCAAAAGTAGCAGCCGACGAAACAAAGGCAGCCACACGATCCTTATTAGAGTTACCAGCCTGTAGAGAGAGAGAAAAATGGGGTTTAATGTCCACTTGACTCAAACATGGTTATTTTGGGACTAACATATGGTTCAATTTAATTTCAATAATTTCTTTGCGAATATAGGGCTTTAGGAGGGGGGGGGGGGGGAACCCTACTCCTTGTCATGTACAAGCGGGGAATCGAAACAATGCCACTTGACTCAATGACAGACCTCATGGTTTCACGTGCACACATTAAACCACTAGACCACTCAACTCCCTGAGACAGAGAGAGAAATGGGGTCTTCAGCAGTGGGAGGAAACCGGATTACCCAGAAACACCCACAAGATTAGGCAGGGATCGAAACCATGCCACTTGACTCAATGCTAGACCTTATGATCTTAAGTGCACACATTAGATCACTCGACAACCCAACACCACTTTTTAGAGAAATAGAGTATGCATGAATAGAATGGAATAGAGAGTGAGAGAGAGAGAGAGAGAGAGAGAGAGAGAGAAATGAGTTTTAAGGTCAACTTGACACAAACTAGGTCATTTTGGGACTAACATATGGTTCAATTTTATTTCCATAATTCGTTTGCGCGTAGGGTTCTTTAGCAATGGGAGAATACCAGAGGAGCCGGAGAAAACCCACGAGGTTGGACAGGCGACCCGACTCCTTGCCACGTAGAACCAGGGAATCGAAATCACGTCAGTTGACTCAATGACAGACCTTATGATACAATGCGCACGCTTTAACCATTCGGCCATCCAACCCCACCCCCTTTTTATAGAAAACCATGCGGTACGTTTTGTGTAATAAATGTAAGTCATGAAGCGATTCTCAGGAATTGTATAACAATAATCTTACTTACCTCAACATTGGCTTTGTAGGAGTTGTCTGTCCATAGCAACGATATTAACGTGGGGTCAGACAAATTATCACAACATTCTAATTCTGCTAACGAAAACGCCTGTTGTTGGGCATCTTCGTCATTATTAACAACAAATAGTATATCAGACGTTAAAATTAGCGTGACCATGACCTCTGACCCTGACATGTCAAGGTGACATGCTTCGACAGTCATTAAGAAATTGGTTCTTGGCAGAGTATTGAAGATTTTCCTGTGTGAGAAACAAAAGATGAAGAAAGTAACATTAAAAATATATTATAAACAGTTTGAGACATCACAAGGTTTTTGGCAAAGGGGGGATAACCCAGAAACAAAAAGTCGCAGAACAGGGTTTGTCATCTCTAATGGCAACGATGCTTCACACCAAATTTGAAGTTTCTATCGTGTTTACAAGCCAATAGTTGACGCACCGACGGACAGGGTGACGACATAATACACCCACACTGAAAAGGAGAAGTAAATATTTTCACTGACGAAACGTTGGATAAAACGATGTTTTTTTTGATATTGTATTCTATGAATTATTTCATATAACACTTATATGTGGGCATATAAAAACTGTAGTCTCTATCGTGTTTACAAGCCAATTGTGACAGACCGACAGACAGGGTGACAACATAATACCACCACACTGATAAGTGGGCATATAAAAACGTGTTAAAACTTACATAGGATATTTAATAACAGCGTTACTATAAAACGATTTAGATCTTGATGTAGGTTTAACCAATCTTTGTGGTAATTGTCCTAATCCTGTACCATGTAATAATCCTGTAATATAAATATTATACTCATAGTCACAATTGTACTAATCCTGGCCACAAGTTCATAAAGCATTTTCACACTTAAACTTAAGAAAGAGAGAGATAGAAATAGAGCTGCATCACTGACATGGGGAAACCGCCCTGGAAAATCTTGATTAACTTTCTCGGTCAGCACCGGGATCGAACCCAGTTGTGTTAAACACCAGTACCAGATCTAGGGGGGGCAAAGTGGGACAAATGTCCCGGGCCCCCCCACATTTAGGGGCCCCCCACAATTATGGGTCATACTAATATTTTATCACGGACGGAGCCAACCAGTACCTGGGCTGAGGGGGCGAGGATTGGGGCCCTGAGCAGTAAGGGATATTGGGGGCCCCAGGACTGGTAGGTACATGTACCAACAGATTTTCGGGGGCCCAGGAAATCGCTGTCTAAATTGTCTCAGATGCACTGAAATTAATCCTAATTTTAAAAAAAAAATTCCTGGAGGAAAACACCCCAGGCACTCAAGGGGGCAGAGTACATACTAGTACGATCCACGGTCAGTACGAACAATTTGAACAAACAACAATGGGGCCCCCGGACAGTTGGTATGTCCCGGGCCCCCCCACAAGGTTAATCCGGCACTGTTTAACACCTGCTTTCATTTTTTCATAAACATCACATTTATCTCATCATGTATGATTATGTATAATTAGGAATGTATGATTATCCAGTATCATTCATCGAGGCCTTTGTGTTGACATTTCAAGTATTGTGTCTCTGTTTGCCTTCAATTTCTATTAATTTAAGCCTACCTTGTCCAGTCTGTGAAACAAGCTCAGCAGCACCACCTATAGGTTTGGTTACTATGCCAACCAGACCTTTACCCATACCCGTAACAAGACCAGATGCTACAGCTGATGTAGATGACCGTCTGTCACTCTCACCCTGATTGGTTAAAACACTCTGTAATGGCTGATCTGCTAATCCTGCTACTGCCCCTGTACAAATATAAATTTATTTGGTTATCTAAGACTAACAAATTAATTTCTTTATGCTAACAAAGAGAGAGAGAGATGGGGTTAAACGTCCACTCGACACAAACTAGGTCATTTCGTGACTAACATATGGTTTAATTTTATTTCAATAATTTGCATGCACGTAGGGGTTTCTAGCAGTGGGAGGAAACTGGAAGACCTGGAGAAAACTCACGAGGTTGGACAGGCGACCCTACTCCTTGTCACATACAAGCAGGGAATTGAAAACACATCTCTTGACTCAATGGCCCAACACGAACACATTAATCCTTTAGACCACCCAATCCTCGTAACTTACCTAGGAGACTGATGCCGAATCCAGTAAAACCTTGAACTAGTCCATCTGATACACCTAGAGGTCTGTTTCTACGATTCTCTTCCTGTCGTTGTAAATGACTGGAATCCATGGATAATCTGTCCATGTTTCTAGAAACACTCGATGCTAGATTAGTCACTGATGTTATCATACCTGGAATAAAGAATTTAAATCATAACAGAGTAGAATTATCTCCCCCTTGACAACAAGGAATTTGGTTTTTCATCCATTCAACTACTAAATACACTTTCTTTGTGAATGGTGACCCATCTGGAATAAATAAATTAAATTATAATGGTTTAAAAAGAATAGGAGAATTATGAGAATTATCTCCCCCTTGACAATGAGGAATTTGGTTTTTCATCCATTCAACTACTTTCTTTGTGAATAGTGACCCACCCTCGATTTTAACTCTGAGATGCCAGTTTGATTCGAAACTAGATCAGTGTGACACATCTATTTGTTTCCTAGTACTCATAATGGTACCTATTACAAAACAGCCAAAAACACAAAACAGCAAACTGGCAACATATCTACCATATACCATATTTCGTTACAACACAAGGTACTGTACAATTTTGTGGATACACAATTACTGAGTTTAATACTAAGCGACGTTTCGACAAGGATACTCTCATCTTTATCAAGCAAATGATACAGATATGTGAATAGTACAGGTATGCCAATCATAGAAAATTTAAATTATGTTTAAACCTACATTATGCAAGAGCTAAATCTGTCTATTGCAGGTCTTTCTTTAGGCCTGAAATGTTATCTAAATCATTAATTAGACATTAATTAACTTATCAAGACCATAATCAACTTTACATGGCATCGCTAGCCTGCGACCTTAAGTGGATTGTGAGCCGATTTACTGTAACTCGATTTAACGATTAAATGGATAATCGAGACTATGACCGGAGCTAGGCAGAAATTTCATTCGCTTAGTTCTCAGTTCATAGTGGATCAATTTGAATGAAATTTTCAGCAAACTGCCTTCACGTTATCTAGTTTTTAACTATTATAGTGAGAACTGCCAACTCATTATCGAATCTCCCATAATGTAACTTAAAAAAAAAGACCTATAATGCCGTCCACTTAACACATACTAGGTCATTTCGGGACTAACAAATGGTACAATTTTATATCTTTAATTCGCTAGCGCATAGAGGTCTTTAGCAGTGGGAGGAAACCTGAGAGGAGGACTAGAGTCCTAGTGAAGGGAAATACGCTCGTACCCTTATTCACCATAAATTGCTGACTCATTTGATGAACTTGTAACTTGAACGGGATTTGGACTTTGTGAAGACTTGGTACTAAAGTCAAGGACTTGGGACACCATGTGGGGTTTTCTTGGGACTTGACTCCATGACTAGTTCCCACCTCTTGAACTAGAAGATAGTGTGTATATGTTTCCACGTTTGAAGACGATGATAATGTACATGTACTAACCAGCAGAAACATTTCTTAATAAGGATCCCATTCCATTTGATACACCACTGACAAACGCTCCAGGTCCCCTTGTTAAACCAGCATACGGCATACGAAACAGATCTGCTATACCAATACCAACGCTACGTACTAATCCTGTTGGATTACCCAGTATTTCTAGCGAACCAATCACAATGCCTGTAATATAAAAAGGAAATAGTGTTTAGTATCTTACCCATGAACGTGTGTCATAGTCATAGATTAAAAACAAAATAAGCTTAAGAATAAACTTGGGATTTAACATTCTTTAAAATGATAATTCTTTCGGGACTAACATATGGTTCAATTTTATTTCAATATTTTGCTTTCGCGTAGAGGTCTTTAGCAGTGGGAGAAAACCGGAGGACCCAGAGAAAACCCACGCGGTTGGACAGGCGACCATACTCCTCACCACGTACAACCAGGGAATCGAAACCCTGCCAGTTGACTCAATGACAGACCTTATGATACAGCGCGCTCGTGCTAACCATTCGGCCATCCAACCCCCCAATCTCTAAAAGAAGAGGAGTTGTATATCTTTTAAAGTGACTGTCGATGAAAGTTGACGAGGCTTCAGTGAAAATAAAAAACAGTTTCAGGAACTTACCTGCTCTAAATATGGCTGCTGAGGCATAATGCATCGCTAGGGCTCGAATTAGCTGATAGTTTGTGGTTGATAAATTATTACGCTCAAATCCCCCAAACGATAACGGTGTATGGTCTGCAGCTAAAAACAACTTCAGGGAAGCATGGACACTAAGTAGCATTTTAATTGGTTGGATTGATAAATGCTGAATTCTGATTGGTTGACTTAGACAAGTAGCCGTCTGCTTGATATTTGAATGTAGATACCTCCATGTGATTGGTTCAGGAATGTTTGTGGACAAAATGGTGGGAAGCAGGATTTCTATTTCTTTGAGAATGCGGTAGATATACATATCGTCTATATATACAGATAATGGTTTGACAGAGAGGTCCAGGGATTCCAGCACTGAATGATCTAGACTATCACTCGACAACACAACTTGAAAATTCACAAAACTCGATAATTTACAAATGGCGTGTTTTTCTATCACAGACAAGTTATCAATATCACCACTGGTTGATAAACGTTTCGTTTTTCCCTGGGGAAGGAGAATGACTGGAAAATCAAACTGACCCAACCCGTAGAGTTGATTATCCAGATGCACGTTACCCACACACACAGCCAGACAAAACTTCTTGTCTTGAGAAGAGACTGGGTACGTCCCAATAAATAGATCCTCCATATTTAAATGAATCACTTCTCCAATTGAATCCTGGGAACTTGATTCGTCTAAAACAACCAATGAAAACTGATCTACGTTACAACCAATCATAATATCCGTAGTTACATTAACACTACTTTTTTGGGGTTTCATGATGGGTTTCAATTCCGCCTCAATTTCTGATTCTTTAGGTTTTTTGTCCATTTCACTGACCGTAAATGTAATATTTCCACCCTTTAGCCTACTACGTATTTCACGTGCCGATATTTCTGCCTTGCCGACAGGCTCCAGTTCCACTTCAAAAATACCAGACTTTTTCTTTATTTTTACTTTGAGATCTGCAACTTGCGGTAATTTGATAAAAGTATTCCCAGCAGCCAAATCAACGCCAAGACTCCACGGAGAATGATCTATAACGCCATCTTTTTCACCAAGCAAGGAACTAAAATGAATTCTTGGATATTTACTGCTGTCCATTATCGGATAATTTGAATTTACATTTGGCATTGTGTAATAACTGTTTCCACCAGAAGGAATCATGGGTAATTTTGCAACTAGTTCCGCTTCTTCTTGAACGGTCATCCCGGACAGCGTTATATTCATTAGCGTCTGCCCATAAAACAAAGGAAATGGACAATTGTTACGAAGAAAGCAAACGGGACTATGATCCTCCATTAGCACGAGATAAGTGACGCCATTTTTAGTTTGCGCCGTCAGACAAAATGGCCGCGTGGTATATTCATCTAACGATAGATCAGGAATAGCCACTGTGTGTCGTATGCCATCTTTATTTGCTGCGATCCTGATTGGTATTGACCACTGGCTTGCAGTAGGAGCAGACGCACCAGGGAGGCTATTTTGTTTTATTGAGATATAATGTATATATTGCGTGTAATTGTTTTTCTGCGGTTGTATATCATGCGTGGAATATTGCGACCAGAATAACAAGGGGTGTAAATTGCCGTCTGCGTTGACTGGTGGCTTCTGGGATGGAATGGATTCTTGAGCTGAAACTTCGTCTGGTAGACTGATCTGAAATAAATTAAACAGACAAATAATGACAGTCGGATTTTGATGACGACTAGGCAGTTGTGCCGCTGCTCAGATTCTTTTATTAATGAAGGGAAATAACTCATTTTAACTCAATATACTATACTATACTTGATTACACGTTCCAGAATTGACCTCCCTCAATCCCCGAAATAGTAACAATCGAGTGAAAGGTTGGATAAGAAAATATCTCAACCAATCATGACAGCTGATACATATTCGTTGTGTTTAATTATGTCACGATTCTACTCACACCACCTCCGCTGTCGGTACTGACAGAACTGTGACAGAACTCAATTTCGCGTCGATCGATTGCAATTCTGTCAATTCGGTACGGACTGACTATCAAGCATATAATGTAATAATTTTGTTTTAATAAAGAGAAATAACCTTATTTTGATTTAATGAACTTAAGAAGGCTCCAGACCACTAATTCTTATTAATAAAAGTATTTTTACCTTGGAAGATCCTCAAGGTAATGTAATAAGTTGCGTTTTAATAAAGGGAAATAAGTATTATTTACCTTAGAAGATCCTAATGGTAATGTGACGAGTTGTGTTTTAATAAAGGGAAATAACTCAATGAATTTAAGGCTTCATACCACTCATTCTTAATAATAAAAGTATATTTACCTTAGAAGATCCTAATGGTAATGTAATAAGTTGTTTTAATAAAGGGAAATAACTCAATGAATTTAAGGCTTCAGACCACTAATTCTTAATAATAAAAGTATATTTACCTTAGAAGATCCTAATGGTAATGTGATAAGTTGTGTTTTAATTGGAATGTTGGTAAGATTACTCATACAGAACCCTTCTTTTATACTAATAACTCGCATACCATGATGCAACTCAGATTTTAACGTTAAAAATAACACCTGAAATAACAAATAAACAATGGGGTTTAATGTCCCGAGCTAAAAAAACAGGTACGAGACCAACCTAAAAACTTGCGCCACTGAACCCCAAACCAATGCAGATAGGCCCCACACCGGTGCCAGCCCTCAACACCAACGGCAAATTTCAATGTTAGCAATTTCTGCCATTCTTTGTGAGTAGTCGTAACTTTCCGGCAATAAACAATCTGTGACATCATTTTAGTCCTTCTGAGCAGAAGGACTAAAATGATGTCATGGCTTGTTTAATGCCGGAAAGTTACGACCACTCACGAAGAACGGCAGAAGTCTACCTGTGGCAGGTAACATTGACATTCAGGTTCGTGTCATACTTATGGAAAGGATATGTTGACATAATTCCTTGCATTATTCTACTAACCCCTGCGTTCATAAATAGGGGAGACACATATTCAAATTATCTGCCCTTGATGATTGTGCTATTTTTATCGACGAATACGCTTGATAGCACAATCACTTGCCACTTCCTGTTTTGACTGACATAAAAAACCAGAGCATAGTGGAGTTGAACGGAATGAGATCGCTGGGCATACCGAGGATGTCAAATCGACGACTATGAATGGATCTTCCTAGTCATCCCCATTAAGCACATATATATATGTAAAAGATCTAAATTGAACCGAATCAATAAAAAGATGAATGGGCCCACAGTGGATTAGAATATATACCAACCTGACTAGATAGTATGATAGTTATATGGACTATACCATCTATAAACAATACCCTGCTTAGGTCAATATATATAATTTACTAGACACATCATCTGATGAGGGGGCCCACAGTGGATTAGGACATATACCAACCTGATTAGATAGTATAATAGTTGTATGGACTATACCATCTATAAACAATACCCTGCCTATATCACTACTATATAATTTACTAGACACATCATCTGATGAGGGGGCCCACAGTGGATTAGAACATATACCAACCTGATTAGATAGTATAATAGTTGTATGGACTATACCATCTATAAACAATACCCTGCTTATATCACTACAATATAATTTACTCGACACATCATCTGATGAGGGGGCCCACAGTGGATTAGGACATATACCAACCTGACTAGATAGTATAATAGTTGTATGGACTATACCATCTATAAACAATACCCTGCCTATATCACTACTATATAATTTACTAGACACATCATCTGATGAGGGGGCCCACAGTGGATTAGAACATATACCAACCTGATTAGATAATATAATAGTTGTATGGACTATACCATCTATAAATAATACCCTGCCTATATCACTACTATATAATTTACTGGACATATCATCTGATGATAATGGTATAACATTAGACTTGATAACTTCACCATTATAAATATACCCCAGCACAAACTCTTCTTTCTGAAATTTACAAGCAAACGTTATACAAATCTTGTAATCTTTCATTAAAGGGAGATAACTACACTTAAGCTAAGTGTAGCAACTCTTTTTAATTTGGGGTTTTCTAAATGAAATGAAATGAAATGGAGTTTAACGTTCAAATGTTCTGTTCTGCTCCGAACTGGACTAATGAAGACGGGTATAAGCTAAACAGTGTGCTATGAGGGAAATTTTGCCCTGACAGCGGCACTACGGCCTACTCTTATATCAAACTGTCAAGGGATCTTTTATGTGCATGCCAATGTCTACACAGGACCTACCATCCATACGACTAGACAGCTGTCCTTGTCAGGCCCTCCGTCCTGCATTACTGACAAGGGGGAACATGCCGGAAGATCTGGATAAACTTTCTCGGCCAATGCAGGGATCGTACACCCGATCTCCAGGCTAGCGAGCCAGCGTCTTACCCACTTAGCCACACGACAGTCACAAATATTAGTATAGACAGATATAAATATACCTGTAATTTGGGTAGTGTAAAAGTTTGACTTGGATCAAGTGGATAGGTCTGTGTATTAGCCAGTAACTGTAGTTTTATAGTAGACAGATTAACCAGTAGTATTTCTGGTGCTATATCTATTAGTAGAGTGGAACATCCAGTTATATACTCTGATAGTCGAACATTTAACTCGACAGATGGCTGGATGACATCGCTACCATTGCATGTTGACATCATATAAGGATTTAATTCCCTGTAAAAATAAACAGAAACTGAATAATCATATCATTTTGAGATTAACAGCCATATTATGTTATCACACGCTACACAAATTTTCTGTGGAACAACTATATAGCCAGCCTATTCTTTCTTTAGAAGAGAGAGAGAGAGAAATGGGGTTTAACGTCCACTCGACACAAACTAGGTCATTTCGGGACTAACATATGGTTTAATTTTATTTCAATAATTTACTTGCGCGTAGGGGTCTTTAGCAGTGGAAGGAAACCGGAGGACCCGGAGAAAACCCACGAGGTTGGACAGGCGACCCTACTCCTTGTCACGTACAACTGGGGATTCGAAACCAAGCCAGTTGACTCAATGACAGGCTTTATGATACAGCGTGCACAAGCTAACCATTCGGCCATCCAACCCCCCTCTTTAGAAGGGGGCTAGGGTGGCCAAACATTAACCTCAAGAGTCAAAAATTAACCTCAAGAGTCAAATATTAACCTCAAGAGTCAAATATTAACCTCGAGGAGTCAAATATTAACCTCAAGAGTCAAAAATTAACCCTGGGGGTCAAATATTAACCTCAAGAGTCATATATTAACCTTGGGGGTCAATATTAACCTCAAGAGTCAAATATTAACCTCAAGGGTCAAATATTAACCTCTAGAATCGAACATTAACTCAACAACATCTTTGTAATAAAACCTACCCTGTATTCAGATTTCCATTATCAAAACAATGCGGCCAGGTTATGGAGAGGTCAGAGGTCGATGGAGTGCAAAGGTCATCGATATCCACCTGATCCATTTTAGTAGTTTCTATTTGATCAATCAAACCAGTTGAAATAATTAATGGTGGACTGGATTTCTCCATATCAGCCCTGAAATAAAAGATAGGGTGTCAGGCAATAAAACATATGCCCACAGCAGCTAAATCGTCCAAGGGTTGTCGCATATTTAATTTTTTGTGGGTAACAGAAGCTTTTACAAGACACAGATACTAATTTCATACAGATTGGATGATAACTTTTATCGTTCGAGCATTTACAAGGGGTTCAACAAAGTGAAACATGGGCCATAACAAATCAGATTTGTGCGTAGGTCCTCAAAGGACAAAATGAAGGTTCATCATTAAGGGTTATTTCTTGCTATCTACAAGACCCCATATGCCTGTGATAAGAATAAATGAGATGAAATGAACGTCCTACTGTTCTGTTCCTGACTGGGCTAATGAAGACGGGAATACGCCATACAATGTGCTATGAAGAAAATTTTGCAACGACAGCGGCACTATTGCCTACTCTTATATCAAATTCCAACTGCCAAGGGATCTTTTACGTGCATTCCAATGTATACACAGGACCTCAGTTTTATTCGTAACATCCGAAGGACTAGACAGCTGTCCTTGTTTGGCCCTTCGTCCTGCACCACTGACAAGGGGAAACCACACCAGAAAATCCTGATAAACTTTCCCGGCCAATGCAGGGATCGAAAACGTGACCTCCAGGTTACTCAGCCAGCGTCTTACCCACTTAACCACTGTGGCTCCCCCTTTGTCATGGTAGCGTATCATGGTTAATTGCAGACACAGGGTAGTTGCTCTCTACTGGGGAGATAGAAATTGCTGAACTTGGACCATGGCTAAACACAGCAGGTGTCAGGGCAATCGTTGGCTATCACAGTACTATTTTGATCTGGAGTAGTTGCTCTATATAGAAATTGCATGGTTAACAAGACCGTATAGGAAGAGAGAGGAATGGGGTTTAACATCCACTCGACACAAACTAGATAATTTTGGGACAAACATGGTTCAATTTTATGTCGGAAATTTGTTGCACGTATGGGTCTTTAGCAGTGGGAGGAAACCAGACGACCCGGAGAAAACCAACGAGGTTGGACAGGCCATAAACTATTTAAATTTACATACCCTAATCTAAAGGCTAAAGCATGACTGATGTCGCCTCCTACAGTGTGTAGTTGATATTCTCGTGCTTGACCTATGACCTCTAACTGCTGGTGTTCCTGTAGTTTGGGTGAGGCCATGTCGACAAGAAGGGGTCGAGGTAGGTGAGTTCTTATAACATACAGTGGAGTTAATAAAACCTGAAATTAGGAAAAATACAAAATGAATCACATTTCATTACAACTTGGGTATCATGTAGTTGTGCTGTTTCAGTAGGAGTTTCTGTATTTAATGTTTAATTTCAAACCATTGTTGGAAAACTGTTTAAATCTGTTGAGAGTCATAGAAAACCATTTAGTTTCTACTGTTGTGTAGTTTATAGGGTCTGTTTAGTTTAGATAATTAGTGTTGGGTTTTAACACAAAGTTTTAAAGTCAAATTCTTTCAAATCCCAAGATATTTTTTTACAAAAACTATGAACATTTTTAGTATGATCTCAAATTTTGAAAATATTTCTAATGTATGGTGTTCTACAATCAGATTCTTTCAAATCCTAATTTTATGGTATGTAAATTAATGTTTAATGTCCATTTGACACAAGCTAGGCCATTTCGGGACTAACATGGTAAAATTTTATTTTGATAATAAGCTCGCTACCTACGAGT